TATTAATATTAAGTTTTGATAATCCGGATTCTAGATTACAAAACCGGATTGAAACCAGATTTAGAATTTTTGAACGATTTCAATTCCAAATTTTGGGTTCTTTGACTAGTCTTAGTGTAACAGATTTCATCATGTCACTGGGAGAATGAAATAATAGGTTATTTATTATGGACGTCTAATCAAATTGGTTTTAGAATGTCTAAAGTAATGGTCCAAATAATATAAATAGCTGCGATATTCAAGGAATATTGACACGGTTTAATCAAGTTTGGAAAATATACGCAAATTTTCACAAAAAATAACCGATTTGTATATTGTTAAATTGTCTAATTAATTTATATTTAGACATCGCATCGTCAAAATGTGTTAATTTAGGCCCATCTATAGCTATGAGGATCAAACTGAATTGCAAATAGTTTTGGGTATGATTTGATTAGTTTCCAAGTTGAAACTTGTTGTATTTTTATTGTTTCATTAGAGAGGACTTCTACTTTGTAAACTTACGTATGTAATAATTGTGAATTTGCGAAAAATATCCTGATGCTACATAAAATAACAAATAAAAATTATGCATTGAAAATACTTTCAAAAAAATCAATAAAAGGTCAGCAAATTATTGTATTAATAATTAATTAATTGTGATTATATAATATTTCATGATAATCATAGAATGTAACTCTAGGAAAGGAACGAATGATTTCAAGTGAATTAGATGTGCTAAAAAAAGTTCATCATGCACATATAATTTCATTGCATGAATTGTATGAGACGAAGGACGGAGTATTTATCATAACAAATTTAGCAACAGGTGGAGAGTTATTTCATCAACTGTTACTCAAAGGATCATATACAGAAGCATATGCAGCAAAACTTGTTAGACAAATCCTTGAAGGTGTCGCCTACTTGCATGATCTAGATATAGTTCATAGAGATTTGAAACCTGAAAATTTATTATTTAATGATAAATCTAAAGATGCAAATCTCATGATAACTGATTTTGGATTATCAAAATTTCTAACAAATGAAAATGATCTATTATCGACTGCATGTGGAACGCCTGGGTTGGTAAACTATTTATTATTATTTATTATTCCTAAAATCTAATTTCTAATAATATTAAATTTTAGATATGTTGCACCTGAAGTGTTATTAGGAATTGGTTATAGCAAACCTGTTGATATTTGGAGTATAGGCGTAATAACTTATACATTATTATGTGGTTATGCACCATTCCGGGGTAAAGATCAAGTTTCATTATTTGAAACTATTAAGGCAGGGGTTTACGAATATGAAAAACCGTATTGGTTAGGAATATCTAAATTAGGTACATACATATATACATACATACATATATATATATAAATAAGCATTATTAATTATGATAGTAATAATAGTAAATATTATGTTAACTCTATTTTATTACTATTAGCGAAAGATTTAATAGATAAAATGTTAATTTATGATCCTTCACGGAGAATAATAGCCAAGGAAGCATTGGAACATCCTTGGTTTAAATTAGCTAGTAATAATGATATTTATAAAGATTTTAAAAATAATTCTTCAGCTAGAAAAAAATTTAAGAAAGCAGTCAATCTTGTACGAGGAATTAATCGTATACGTAATAATAAAAACAACAACAACAACAATAATAACGATGATGATGATAATGATAATAATAATAATAATAATAATAATAACAACAACAACAATAATAACAACAATATTGATATTGATATTGATATTGATATTGATAGTGAAAATAACGAATTAATTTAGATAAATTAATATAACTTGAGTGAAAGTTAATATAATAACAATTTTGTTTAGATAATTTTTTATGTATTTATTTTTTGTATAATAATAAAAATATTTAATTATTTATCAAAGATAGTCTAAATTACAGTCAACCTTGCCACAACGGATGAACGGGACACGTAAATTAATAAAAATGGAGATATTTCAGTGTAAATAAGTAAACAAAGTGTTCAATAAAGATACATCACTATTCCTCGCTTAATTGAACGTAATTATCGATATCCATACAAATATCTATCTCTTTTAGAAGAAGTCTAACTTCTTTGATACTCATATTTCCATCTTTAGTTATAAAAGTATTACCATAAATGTCAGAATTCGCATAATTGTTTGATGAATGGGATAAGAATTCTCATTTGATCTTCCGCGATTTTCTTTTCAATAATACTTACCTCCAATGTATTCTTTGACTATAACTTCTTAAGAAATTTAGAGGGATGTCCATAAATATATTATATTCTACAGGATCTTTCTTAGATGTAGGTATAAAATAATTATCTTTACCGATGTAATTGAAGAAACTCGGATTTGATGGTCTATTTTCGTGATCTGTAAAGGTACTCAAATAGAGCAAGGTGAATCTTTTTTTGTTTCGAGACTTATGTTTGCCTATTTATATGTGTTCTTTAACGACGACCCGTTTATAATGTTTTTCAGGAAATAGATAATTTTCTAAAGAATCAAGTAACAAAGATAATCCGGAAAATAATATTTATTCTTTCTTTCAACTGGCCACGTTTGATTTTCTTTGCAAAAGAACTATTTTTCTAATATAAAAGTGAAACAAACTTGTAAACAATTCAAGAACAAAAAACCAATCATTCAAGATCACAAGTATGATCGGGCAATTATTTATTATTTATGAACCCTTCTTGAATTCATATTTGGTAATGAATTTTTTGTCACATCACATTTATGATCTTTGATCCCAAGATGAAATTTTGTGTCTTGGTAAATCATTGCTTTGACAAAATGCTTTTGCGTATCCTGGGCATTCACACTTAAAATCTTTTATTCCAAAATGACGTTTTGTGTGTACTTGTAATGCACCATTTCGTAAAAATGCTTTGGGTATTTGCATTTAAAGTTCTTTACACCAAGATGGCGCTTTGTGTGATCTAGCAAATAACCTTTTCGATTAACTACTTTGTTACATCTTGGATATTCACTCTTGAATTTTTTTTTATCATGAATATTACTACTGATGTTATCATCATCAAATATAAATTGTAGTCATCATCACCACCACCATTATCAGATGGAGATACGTAACAATCGAATAAAAACAAACCATCTTTTTCAGCACAACAACCTTTAATTAAATCCTTACGTTTATCGTGATTTCTATCTTTGAAATCTTTAATGCCAGATAAAATGCTTCCCTGGTGAAAATTTCGAAATATTAATATAGAAATTATCTTCATATTATTGAAAACCACCCTCGGAAAAACAACTACTTGAAACCATTCAAATATATTATCATCGTCGGGCTAACCTACCAATATATAATTTATATATAACAAATAAACTCGCCATATAGCCTCTTTTAAAGCATTGGTTAGGAGTTGAATTCATTTCTCTTGAAGCTAAATTTTTTAATAATTGCAATTAATATGTAAAATATATAGATGCTTATTGTGAGATTGTAAATCGTGGACCAACCAATCGACCATTAATATTAGTCACAGGACATGTCACATCAATTGATTTTCTATATGTGAAAATAAATTCGAAATTCGTGTCACATGAAGTTTTT